AATAATCAAAAGCTACCTGATATCTCTAATATAAACATGGTTTTTTTTTTTTTTGGTTCAAAGTCTTGTCAACGGAGCATTGATTATCGGGTTTTGAGGCAAGATAAAGGGAAGCTAAAGCTATATATGGTTTTTTTTTTTTTAAAAAAAAAAGGGGATAAGAAGAGAGAACGTTTCAAGGTGTGGGAGGGTTTCTTGGTATGTTTCCTCAAGGTCATGCAAAGGCTTAGGTCATGAGCCCATGTTTTTCACTTTCAAATGCCTATGTCTTCCTTGTTTTGTTGTGAATTTTCTTCTTGTGCGTACGTTTCTTTGCTATAACGTTTGGTTTAGGCAATTGGGCGTGGGGATTTGTTCTGGGAATGGCTGCTGGCATGCTTAGTTTGCTATTCCAAGAGGCTTACCTTTTGTTTTATTTGACCAAATATTGGAGATGATCTCATCAAGAATATCTTGATCTGCAACAATACAAGCAGCGATAAGAATGAGGGGAAAAAATTAAGGAGGACTGTAAAAGGTCCAAGATTTAATTTCAATTATTTAATCATTTAATTTTTCATCAGATTTAGTATGATGTTAGGAAATCTTTAAAAGAAAAGAGTTGTGCGATCAATGTAATTAGAAAGCATACTTCACCTGTATCAATGATTTTTTTTTTTTAAGAAAAAAGCATTGTATAATTCTTTTTTTTTTCTCGTAATTTATCTATTTTCTTTTCGAAAATGTATCTTAATATATATGTAAAGACCTTAACATATTGGGTTTTATTTTTACTCTTTGATTATAGGAAATAAATTACAACTTCCTTTTATATATACTTAAAAAATAGATTATTCTTTTTATTTCTCTAAATAGTTATAATAAAAGATAGATTCAAATAAAAAAATATCCACAATATTCCTATAATTTGTAGCTTAAAATCTAACAAACCTCCTCATTAAGGAAGAAAATTTAATCACCATGGATATGAAAATGTAATTTATGGTAAGTCTAATTACTCCCCTTTTCCATTTCTTGAATAAATTCAAAATCCTTTTGCAACTCTTGAGCCCGAAAGATAATCCCCTCATCCAAGTATATCTCTTGTAACGAATGTCTAGATATGGCTCAAAGAATGTCATACATGGGCACAAAATGATATCATCATTATTCAAGTGCTTTTTCAATTTTTTTTCAACTTTTCATTTTCACCCAATCATCAACGCAATTTTGAACGCAAGTCTCTGATATTCTCAGCCCAATTTCTAACTTTTCTAATAAAAAACCCCCCCACAATGCCTAAACTGACCTTATAATAATAATAATAAGAAAAAAATAAATAAAAAGAAAAAAAGCTGCACATAATGACGAAATTATGCAACTGAGTCTCCTTAGTATTTATTCTCTTTTGTGTTAGTATAGACCAGCTCATCTTCACTCTATATGTCTCTTTCTTCCTGATGAATCCTAGAGGCAATGAAGAAAGTTGAAAATGAGAGCTCTCCAAATAAAGGATCTCCATCATCTTCTCTTGATATAAGAGTTACTCAGAGAGGTGTAGCTGGTAGTTTGCAAGAAAAAAACATGAAATCAGCCACAGTTAGGCCTTATGTTCGATCGAAAATGCCCAGGCTTCGCTGGGCACCTGATCTTCATCACTGCTTTGTGCATGCAGTTGAAAGGCTTGGTGGAGAAGACCGTAAGTTATCTTGTTATTTACAAGCCCTTCACATCACTTTATAATTAATTTCTAGTTCTTAAATATTGTATATAAAAAATATTGAATTCTCATATACAGGGGCCACCCCAA